TTTATTTATTTATTTATTTATTTATTTATTTATTTATTTATTGGTCTGTTTATATTTCTGCTGTCAGTTTCGGTCCTCTACAGAACACAGCTGGTTTCATCAACAACAACAATGTTAAAGTTTTTCTAAACGAGGCTTTTTGTTTGAAGAAACTCAGACACATTTTGAACCTGTGAACCTTACAAAGACAGGAAGTTGGACCTTTAAATCATTTAATTTGATCTCAGATTAGTTTGAAACTTTTCAAACACAAACAGTTAAATAAGTTCTAACAGATAAATGTTTATAAAAACCTTTAAAATGTCATTAAATACATAAAGCCCTCAGTTCCTGTGGAGGTCATGTGATCAGCGGAAGCTCTCTGATTGGTGGAACAGCTCGGTGTGTTGTTGGGTGGAAGGAAACACAAACAGACCCGGTCCAGACTGAACCATATCCAGGACTTGGTCCGAGCAGGTTCTGTTGGGTTCTGGGAGATGTTCCTGATTCATTGGACCGGACAGAACCTGCTGCTGCTCGTTTCCTGTCTGTCTGTAACAAAAGTCTTAACGAGTCTTAACGAGTCCAACAACATGACAGTTCTCTGCTGAAACACACAAGTCCATCATCGCCCCACGCTCTGCAGAAACAGGAGCTCCTTCTTTATTTTCTGCTCATGCTGAACCTGATCCCAGGCCCATTAAAGGTCCGGAGCGTCAGGCATGAGATCCTAACTGGTGTCAGGCTGTAAGCAGATCATTTACAACCCGTTCATGTCGGAACTTTGTTAAACTCACTACAGAAACATTTAAAAAAGACTGATTATTCTGACAGCAAGGGTCAAAGGTCATCTCTTCATCCCTCTGAGTCACGTGACTCGTACCAACCAATCACAYGCTCTGAAGCCAGCAGGTGTTTTAGAAGAGGCGGGAAAGAGCAACYAAGTACTTTTACTTTCTTACAGAACTTCAGTCATTTCTTTGAGGATTGATAATTTGACATATTCTGACATATTTCTGGAATAAACTTTTAATAACAGGAGTTTAATGACAGAAAACAGATTTATAAATCAGGTTGAAGGCAGGACTCAAGCAGGAACTCCAGGTTTCACTTTGGTGTCATGAATCCTGCAGCTGAAGACGTCTGACAACTGCAACAACACCCCCCCTACACACACACACACACACACACACACACACACACACACACACCGTGATGGATCTAAGCTCCTGTAAATGTTGTGGGTTTATTTCAGCTCAGCAGATCAGAGGCAGCGATGCCTCAGCTGCAGTTTGTGGAACCAGTTCAGTTTTTCATCGTCTCACTTCAACACATGAGATTCTGTGCAGCAGGAGATATTTATAGTTTACTCTTAATCTAATTATCGTTAAACATTTCCTGTGGGATCTAACCTGCAGCAGCAGCAGCAGCAGCTGTCCTGTTTGTCAATGTCTGCTGCTCAGTTTCAGATGACAAACTCTGATTATAGATCACTGTAGACCTATTTAGATCACTGTTGACCCCTTTAGACCCCTGTAGGTCCCCTATAGATCCCTGTAGACCCATCCCTGTAGACCCATCCCTGTAGACCCCTGTAGATCCCTGTAGACACCTGTAGACCCCTGTAGACCCCTGTAGACCCCTGTAGATCCCTGTAGACACCTGTAGACCCCTGTAGACCCCTGTAGACCCCTGTAGATCCCTGTAGACACCTGTAGACACCTGTAGACCCCTGTAAACCCGTGTAGATCGTAGATATTTGTAGACCCCTGTAAACCCCTGTAGATCACTGTAGACCCCCTGTAAAACCCTGTAGGTCCCTGTAGACCACTGTAGACCCCTGCAGATCACTGTAGMTATTTGTARACCCCTGTAGCTCACTGTAGACCCCCTGTAGATGCCTGTAGCTCCCCATAGGTCCCTGTGGATCCCCGTAGGATCCGATTTTACTACCAGGACCATCTTTGGGACAATGTCCAGCTGGTTCTCAGTGCAGGTCTGTCCGTTGTCTCTAGTCCTGTTGGTGGTCTTCATGGTACAGTCATCATTTCTGCTGTATGCAGATGATGTGGTTTTGTTGGTGTCTTTGGTCAAGGACCTTCAGGGTGTGCTGTGTTTGTTCACAGCTGAGTCTAAGTCCATGTTTCCTGACCATGGTCCCCTCTGTTGGTAAAAGACCTTAGGGTGGACCCAGAATCCTCTGCAGGGATTATAGATCCTTTCTGGTCTGGGACCTTGAAGTGTCCTAAAAGATCGACARAGCATCAAGCATCAGATCAAGGATCAAATCAAAGCTCCTGGATATTTTGCTGACAGAGCTCCTGGGGTCTTACTGATCTTTGACCTTGTTTTTGTCTGTCGGACAGTGAAGCTGTTCCCGGTCACCTGTGAGTACATCAAAGGTGAGAAGCAGTTCTACTACAGGGCCCAGAAGTTCTACGAGGACGTCCCGGCCTCGGAGGAGGGCATGATGGGGGATTTTGTGGATATTTCCAACGTGGATCTGGAAGGTTCCCAGCAGTTTCTGAAGAGGTTTGTGGTAAGTTGCTCTTCTGCTTCAGCTAAGACAAACCAGGAACCGCCTCCACAGATTTATTCTGGAGGAACTCCTCGTCTCGACTCCACAGAAATGATCAGTTAGAAAGAAATAATTTAAATTATATGCTTAATGAGTCATAAAATAACTTTTCTAATGCTTAAGCATTAAAAATAAGGTGATTTTATTTTACGAAAACCTAAATAAAAACACTAATTACTTGTGGCGTTCCTCAGGGCCCGTGCCTCGGTCCTCTGCTGTTTTTACAGAAATAATTCCTCTGCCTTTTCTAACCAAGTCTTTTTTATCTTATATCCACACAAAATGGTTGTTGATCTTATTTTAAGTATGAAAGGGCAGAATGTAAAATTATTTAGCCTTGATACCCTGGAAACTTTSCTTATTTCAAGAATCTTTGTGCACTTGTTCKTATTCCATTGTCAGATTATTTCACTTGATTTAAGTCTCAAGTGTCATATTTCTTAAATGAGTTGAAAATAATCTGACAATGKGTAGATAAGATAAAAAGACTTGTACAGACAAAAAGAAAATACTCATTTTATGAAGCTTTAATTAGACTGCTTAAATTACAATTTAAACTTTATTCACGTAAATAAAAACAAGGCTGGAGATTTGGATGCTCAAATGATTCTGACATGTTTTCTTTAAATGAATGAAGTTAATATTCTGTAAAACAAGACAGAACTGTGATGTGTGCATGCTGCAGACACACAGATTGATTTTAGATGTTGGGTGAGATGTTGTTGCTAATTTGGGAGAAATGTTTGGACCCAGACACCTGGCTAAATCCAGGATCAGAATTACAGCTGCTCTAATTATAAACTGCGGACTMTGGATGCTTTAAAGATCAGCAGACATCAGGAGACCACTTTTCTTCTGCTCTGAATGTAAACACAACAAGTTCAAGTTTGTGTCAGCCAAGCTGTGATGTGTTTACCGTAACAACACACACTTGSCCTTCAGAATAATAATGTGAATTATCTTGTTTCGGCTACATTTTTTTGGAAATCAAAACTTTCAGGTGTTTAAACTCGTGTGAAGAACAAGAGAGGCAGGAAAAGATTTTCACAGTTCAGACTATCACTGAACCCAAGAAGCTCCTTGAGGCCCCATCTTTTCCTGCAGTCTCTGGGGTTCCCTGGTTCTGAGGGGTTGGACTGAGGTCAGAGAACCAGTTAGTCTTCAGAGGAAAACCATGTGAAATATTTTACTAACAGGGCCCTGGAAAGGCGGGGACACACTGCGCTCTGGACTGTGGCTCTGGGATTGGACGTGTGACCAAAGGCGTCCTCCTCCCCGTCTTTGAGAAGGTGGAGATGGCAGACATGATGGAGCACTTCCTGCTCCATGCTCACGAGGAGTACCTGGGCGCCGACGCCGAACGAATCGAGACGTACTACTGCTTCAACCTGCAGGAGTTCACGCCCCCCAAGAACAAGTATGATGTCATCTGGATGCAGTGGGTGGCGTGTAAGTAGCAGCAGACCTGCTCGTATGGGAGGAGCTCCGAGGTCTCCTGGTTGACCTTCTGTCTTTTGTCTCCTCAGGTCATCTGACCGACAAGGACCTGATGAACTTCCTGTTCCGCTGTAAGAAGAGCCTGCGGCCAAATGGCGTCATCGTGATGAAGGACAACATGGCACGGCAGGGCTGCAAACTGGACCCCATSGACAGCAGCATCAGCCGCCACTTGGACATCATGAAGGCCATCATTGCCAAGGCGGGTCTGGAGGTCCTGGCTGTGGAGAAGCAGGAAGGCTTCCCTGAGATCATCATGCCGGTCTGGATGGTCGCCATGAAGTAAAAAAAAAAAAACTCTCAGGTCGTGGTTTTGGTTCTGTGGCTCTGATGTGGACTCTTGGAGAGGAAAAGAATAAATCCTGAGGTGTGGACAGCATGATGAGACCCAGGTGGGTTTCTGCTCTGCAGTGAACCTAAAGAAACCCCTCAGCAGGAAACTCACCTTCTACAGGAGGCAGCAGAACTCTGACAGGTCCAGGTTCTTCAGAACCTTGGTGCTCCTGTAGGAAACTTTTCACTGTCTGAACCCAAAACATCACCAGAGGAACGTGTTGATTCTTCCACAACAAAAGGTTTTAAAAGCCACAGGCAGCAGATCCACTGGACCTGAGTCTGGGTTTACGTGGTCCAGTGGGCTGGTCCTCATCTCCCAGATCCATCAGATGTTACGTTGATTAACAGATGTACGTATGAGGGCTAAAATTAAGACTATTGTAACCAGCGGTTGCTACATCCTTGTAGCAGAAGGATGTRTCTGTTCCAGATATTGATCTGATTAATGATAGGCTGACACCGCTAACTGAGAGGCTGGAGCTGGTAAACGAGAGGAAGACTATTCATTTGTGTTAGCATCGGAGAGACTAGCAACTGGCATAGTCGCTAGCTACTCCAATGCTAACACCAGCTTATCCACGGTGTAGGTAGCTTCTTCATTGGTAACACAAATGAATAATCTCCTTCTCTAGTCTAGTGACTAGCATGGATAAGCTGGCATTAGCATCAGAGATGCTAGCAACTGGAATGGATAAGAAGGCATTAGTATTGGTGATTCTAGTGACTATACTAGTTGYTAGTCTCTCCGATGCTAACACAAATGAATAGTCTTCCTCTCGTTTACCAGCTCCAGCCTCTCAGTTAGCGGTGTCAGCCTATAATTAATCAGATCAATAGCTGGTTAGGAACAGATATGGCCTCCTGCTACAAGGATGCAGCAACCACTGGTTACAATAGTCTTAATTTAGGCCCTCATACTGCACCTTACTGGGACATGATCAGGACAGTAAAAAGAAGATTAGTTTTTTATCATGAAGCAAACAGAACTTCTCCAGAACTCCTTTCTGTCCACAGCTGTTTGTCCTCCTGAAGGATAAAATAATGGAGCAGAGGTTTTCAGTGATCCACTGTCCTGCACAGGTTATATGTTTCCTGCTTCAACACACCTGCTTCAAATCATTCAGTGACTCTGATCCTCATCAGTTTAGCTGCAGGCTGTCAATCTGTCAGCCTGTCAGTCAGTCAGCCTGTCAATCACTCAGCCTGTCAGCCAGACAGCCTGTCAGTCAGTCAGCCTGTCAGTCACTCAGCCTGTCAGTCACTCAGCCTGTCAGTCAGAAAGTCTGTCAGTCAGTCAGCCTGTCAGTCAGTCAGCCTGTCAGTCAGTCAGCCTGTCAGTCAGCCTGTCAGTCAGTCAGCCTGTCAGTCAGACAGCCTGTCAATCACTCAGCCTGTCAGTCACTCAGCCTGTCAGTCAGTCAGCCTGTCAGTCATTCAGCCTGTCAATCACTCAGCCTGTCAGTCAGACAGCCTGTCAGTCAGTCAGCCTGTCAGTCAATCAGCCTGTCAGTCAGTCAGCCTGTCAATCACTCAGCCTGTCAGTCACTCAGCCTGTCAGTCAGACAGCCTGTCAGTCAGTCAGCCTGTCAGTCAGACAGCCTTTCAATCACTCAGCCTGTCAGTCAGACAGCCTGTCAATCAGTCACTCTGTCAGTCACTCAGCCTGTCAGTCAGTCAGCCTGTCAGTCAGTCAGCCTGTCAGCCTGTCAGTCAGTCAGCCTGTCAATCACTCTGTCAGTCACTCAGCCTGTCAGTCAGACAGCCTGTCACTCAGCCTGTCAGTCACTCAGCCTGTCAGTCAGACAGCCTGTCACTCAGCCTGTCAGTCACTCAGCCTGTCAGTCAGACAGCCTGTCACTCAGCCTGTCAGTCACTCAGCCTGTCAATCACTCAGCC